GCTTCCCCAGCCCCGGCTGTGTACTGACGGGGAGTGTGACATGAACACTGATCCGTGCCCCCCATCACCCTGGCTTATGGTAAGCAGTACCTTATACTTTAAATAGTCCTATTGAAACCAGTAGGGCTGTCCAAAGAGTAAGGTACTACACACCAAGAGCAAGTGTTGCAGAATGCGTGCCCTTAACCTGTGAAGGCTAGTTTAAACAAAATTATTTTGGGACTATTTTCACCACTGTTACTCATGTTGGGTAGGACCTTATTCCATAGTGTGGTTTGACGTTGATTGATGTTTGGCTGCATGTGTGTGTGTTTCCTCTGTGTACCGCCCCAACCCTACTCAGACAGCTGGCATGGCAGACATCAAGTGAACCACCAAATGATCACAAGATCCGTTAAGGGATGAATGCACCCAGCCAGGTTTATTGTTGACAAAGCATGGTACTAGTATCCCACAGACTCTACCAGACCACTAATATAGGTATGCCCCTAACAATGGATCAGTTCAGTAAACGGCAGGACTTTCCTTTCCTCCCTAGGCCAGACAAAGATACTCTTTCTGAGATACACTTTATACCCTGGTACAAACAAGTGAGTACTGTCCCCTGACGTGGCTAGTTATAACTAGGGCTGTCAAGCGATTAAAAAAATTAATCTTGATTAACTGTACGATTAATCATGCTGTTAATAATAGAATACCATTTATTTAAATATTTTTGGATGTTTTCTGTATTTTCAAATATATTTAATTCAGTTACAACACAATATGAAGTATACAGTGCTCACTTTATATTTATTCTTATTACCAATATTTGCACCATAAAAATAGTATTTTTCAGTTCACCTAATAAAAGTACTGTAGTGCAATCTCTTTATCATGAAAGTTGAACTTACAAATGTAGAATTATGTACAAAAAATAATTGCATTAAAAAAAAACAATGTAAAACTTTAGTGCCTACAAGTCCACTAAGTCCTACTTCAGCCAATCGCTTAGACAAACAAGGTTGGTTACAATTTGCAGGAGATAATGCTGCCCGATTCTTGTTTACAATGTCACTTGAAAGTGAGAACAGGTGTTTGCATAGCACTGTTGTAGCCGGCATTGCAAATATTTACATGCCAAATGGGCTAAACATTCGTATGTCCCTTCATGCTTCAACCACCATTCCAGAGGACATGCGTCCATGCTGCTGACGGGTTCTGTTTGATAACCATCCAAAGCGGTGCAGACTGACGCATGTTCATTTTCACCATCTGAGTCAGATGCCACCAGCAGAAGGTTCATTTTCTTTTTTGGTGGTTTGGGTGATGTAGTTTCTGCATCGGAATGTTGCTCTTTTAAGACTTCTGAAAGCATGCTCCACACCTCGTCCCTCTCAGATTTTGGACGGCACCTCAGATTCTTAAACCTTGGGTCATGTGCTGTAGCTATTTTTAGAAATTTCACATTGGTACCTTCTTTGCATTTTGTCAAACCTGCTGTGTAAGTGTTCTTAAAACGAACATGTGCTGGGTCATCATCAGAGACTGCTATAACATGAAATATATGGCAGAATGTGGGTAAAACAGAACAGGAGACAGAAATTCTCCTCCAAGGAGTTCAGTCACAAATTTAATTATTTTTTTAAAATGAGCATCAACAGCATGGAAGCATGTCCTCTGGAATGGTGGCCGAAGCATGAATGGGCATATGAATGTTTAGGTAAATCCCTTGCAACGCTGGCTACAAAAGTGCCATGTGAACACCTGTTCTCACCCTCAGGTGATGTAAATAAGAAGCAGGCAGCAGTATCTCCCGTAAATAGTTGTTTGGCTTAGCAATTAGCAGAACAAGAAGTAGGACTAAGTGAACTTGTAGGCTCTAAAGTTTTACATAACTGGACTCAAAAACAAAACAATGTAACAAAATCTATATTTGTAAGTTACACTTTCACAATAAAGAGATTGCACTACAGTACTTGTATGAGGTGAATTGAAAAATATTATTTCTTTATCATTTTTACAGTGCAAATATTTGTAATAAAAATATAAAATAAGCACTGTATACTTTGTATTCTGTCTTGTAATAAAAAGTCAATATATTTGAAAATGTAGAAAAACATCCCAAGCATTCTTCATTGCACCTACTAGCATAAGGCTATTGTGACTTAGAAAGATGCAGTGTGAGCTTGTGGATTTAATACATTTTGTAATAGTTAAAAATGGTGTTGAAAAATTGGAGAGAGTATAGAGAAGAACCACCCAAATCATCTCAGGGCTGGAGAAGATGCCATATAATGAGAGACTTAAAAGATCAATCTTTTGAGTTTATCAAAAAGAAGATTGGAGAGGTGATGTGATGACAGTATATAAGTACTTTCAGGGGGAAAAAATACTGGATACTAAAGGGCTCCTGCTCAGTCTGGCAGAGAATAGCATAACATAAGACTGAAAGGGATCTCCTGGGTCATTGAGTCCAGTCCCTGGTTTTGCAGGCAATTGTGTCCCAAGAACTTATGGCTCAAAGTTGAAGCCAGACAAATTCAAATGAGCAATCAAGCACAAGTTTTAACAGTGAAAGTGATTAGTCACTGGAACATGCCACCCTGGGAAGTGGTGGGTTCTTCATCTCTTGTCTTCAAATCAAAACTTGGATGCCTTTCTGGAAGTTGTGGTTTAGTCTAGAGGTCAGCAACTTTCAGCATATGGCCCATCAGGGTAATCTGCTTGCGCATCACAAGAAATTTGGTTTGCATTGACCATCCACAGGCACGGCCCCCCGCAGCTCCCAGTGGCCCTGGTTCACCATTCCTGGCCAATAGGAGCTGCAGGAAGTGGCTCCCATTGGTCGGGAAAAGCGAACCACGGCCACTGGGAGCTGCGGGGGGCTGTGCCTGCGAACAGTCAACATAAACAAAGTGTCTCGCGACCCGCCAGCGGATTACTCTGATGGGCTTCGTGCTGAAGGTTGCTGACCCCTAGTTTAGTCAAACAAAGTTATTAGGCTCAATGCAAGGGTAGCTGGGTGAAATTCTGTGGCCTGTGTTATACCAGATATCAAACTAAACAACTTAATGATTCTCTCTCACCTTAAAATCTGAATCTTTGCATAGTGAGATGCTTATTTTTCTAGTGTGCATACTTTTGGGGGTCTCTTTTAATAAGATTTTTGGTTACATTTAATTTCTTCTCTCTTGCCCAATAAAGAAAATGCTATCTCTGGGTCCATATTCCCTCGACAGATGTGTAATTGAGGGCTAAACTGTAGGATTTAAGTTTTTAAAAATGAGTGAAGTAATATAATATTCTTAATAAATCTTTCGGTCACTATAGTTGACAAATCTAGGACCTTGGATGGGAGGTGAGATTCCCTATTGTGATCATCTTGTATTTGGAGAAATTAGTGTTGTAAAAATAATTAAGTAGGATAATATTTTAAGTTCAGATAGCTACATCGGAATGCAGTTAGCATAAAGAATAGTAGTAATGTTCATTACCACTCCCATTTACTTTCCTAGTAGACTATTGCTGTCCATGGCAATTATTTAATCCTAGAAGGTAAAACAAGGTGAAAGCTCTGTGTAACGGAAAAGTTGGAATCAGACATCAGTGCCATAAGCAGTCATCTAAGTAATTGATAAGCATTTAGAATGTCTATTCACCAAATAAATCTTTTCCCATGAGAATATCTTCACCATTTCAAGCAAGTAGAACCTTGGACCTTGCAAAGGGAGTTAACTGGTGTAAATGCAGAATTCTCTTAACTTGAAGTCTTTAAACCATGATTTGAGGACTTCAGTTATTCAGCCAGAGATTAGGGGTCTGTTACAGGAGAGGGTGAGTGAAGTTCTCTGGCCTGCAAGATGCAGGAGGTCAAACTAGATGAACCTGATGGTCCCTGTTGACCTTAAGCTCTATGAGAACCATTCCACTCTATCAGTTCCTTTCACACAGTCATTGCCAATTCATAATATGGTCTTTCCTTTTAATTAGGTATCTGACCTCTTTCTGAATGCTACGGAATTCTCTTTTTGAAAAATTGCTTTCTTTATAAGTTTCACTTTCAGAGTTTGTGATGCTTACATAATGTATTGTAATTCATGAGAGACCTGATCCAAAACTCACTGAAGTCAATGGAAAAAATTTCCATCAGATGGTTAGGGGGAATGAAAACCAATGCCACTATGAGACTAACTGGAAATCTTGTATGCATTTTAAAAATGATTTGTACATATGCTTTGAGCTCTGGAGAGGTGCATTTAAAAAGTGCAATATAGATAAGCACCCCCAGATGAGGAAGACACATCAGCCCCAATTTAGGAAAACATTCCTGTTCAGAAAAACACTTAAACATGTCTTAGGTCAGTAGGGCTCAGGCATGGTCTTAAGCACTTTTCCAAATTGGGGTTAGAGACAGTATTCCAAAATAGGTAGGGTTTTATGGATCAAAATCTGATTTTACGAGGAAGCATGTGAATAGCCAATAGTTAGCTCAAGCTTTGGAGCACAGAATATTGTCAACATGCTACTAAGAAATCAGGGAGCAATATTATATATTAGCTGTTGAGTCATTGAGTAACTTTCAAGGCTAGCCCCATCAGTGTATTGCAGTATTCTAGTGTGTAATTTGCAGGGAAGTAGTATCAGTCCAATCACACCAATGTGCAAAGTGAATTCTGTTGATACTTTTGCTCAAAAAAGTCTATAATTAAATATACTATTGGCCAGTGGAGATGCATGAATTGATACAACAGACAAATAAATTGGTAGAGAGCTGATGCAGATTAATTTTTAAGTAGAAGTGTAAAACTACGAAAAGGTATTGAAATTTTGATACATATTTTAATAGGATTTCATTCTTATTGAAGATGCCCATTTCGTCATTTGTTTTGAGACAGATCCAGAGAAGGATGCGTGGTAAAAAAAACTGTATGCTTTGTATGTTTTAGCAGAGTCAAAGTCAACACAAGTCTTGCTTTTGTCATCTTTCTTTGACTTTTTTTTTCTTCTTTCTGTACTAGATCTATGCAGAAACGCTGTGGCAGCAAGCTAACAAAGACAGACAAAACTCAAGAAAAAAGACTTGCTTTGGAATCCCCCTCACAGAGGAGAAACTTAATGACTTCCATAATGAACAGATAAGACAACTGCAGGAATTGATGCAAGAAGCCACTAAACCTAATAAGCAATTTAATATTTCTGATGATTCTGAATACAAGAACTAGATTTTTTAAAAATGCACTTAAAAGCATTTTATAGAGCTTCCTTTTTCAATTTGAATAGAACATTATTATGAATAATGAAAGCTGATAATATGGTAACTTTTTTGTGTTTTAACCTGATGTATCTGTTTCCTTATGCAATGATGTTAGAATTATTGTATGATCCCAGGTTATGTAAATTATAACACTTGCACTTTGTGGAACTTAGAAAATGTTCTTTATTTTAAGAATTTGGTAATATTAAAATTGTCATGTTTTCAAAATTAAAAGATTTATGTTAGAATTGGATTTAAGCACCTGGTAGGTCTTGATTTCAAGCAAGTCATTATTTGTGTATCATCCACTTCTTCCGCTAATAATGGAAAGGATGCAATCAACAGTAATTTTCTGATGGGGATTCAGCAATAACAGTACAAAGAATGAATGTGTGCTACTGATTTGGGTTTTTTGCATTGCAAAGAAGTAAACCATGCTTACAAGGATGTGTTGTTCTTTCATTTGAATGCTAGTTTTCTTCATCAGTTTTATTGTGTAATTTTCCTTAAAACAAGATACATTTTTATTCTAAACTTCACCCTGCTTAAAACCAGTCTTACAAGCAAAATAATCAGTTTGTCAGTTAGATCCCTAGAATCTATCAAAGTAGGATTCCCTTCCTTATCCCTGAAATCTTGCTATTTTACAGTCTTATTAATTCAGCAATAAAATAATTCTTTAGTAGAACTGCATACTCAGTCATTATTACACAATTAAAATATAAAGAAGCTTAAAGGCTCAGTATCATCCCATATTCTGCTTTATAGAAGAAAAAATGGTTGTATCCAACAACAGGAATGACCCCTCCCTTTCATAGTATTTTATAAATATTAGAAATAGATTAGACAAGCTTTGATGGAAACAAAGCACTGCATTCTGCAATACAGTGTGTACCTATTGTAATGCTCAGATCATTGTGATGTACAGAGTTTTGTAAAAAAAAAAACCCTCCCATCTAGCCCTCTCATCTCTTCAAAATGCACAGCCTATCTGCTCGAAGGCAATTTTCTCTTCCGTATTTTAAACCTCTATTTATAATTATTGCTCATGTTCTACTTTTGGATCTTCCACTGATTGCTACTGGTAGAGTATTCAAGATAATTTCTTTCCTCTTTCAGGACAGCAGCTTTGACAAGGAATTGCATTTACAGATCTCAAGCCATAGCAAAATGCTGTGTTTGCCAAAATTACTGTTCTGGGAGTTAATTCTGAGCGGTTTAGGGAGTACCCTGTATCTCCCAGCTCCTGAAACCCTCAGTAGGAGTTGCAGGCTGTTTATCACCATTCAGTGATCAATGCCTAGATTCTTTACAAGGGGTGCTTTTGATTGCTGTGCAGCATGTCCTGGCAGCATGCCTCAGCTGCGCTTGTTATTTTGCATTGTCGTACCACCCAAAAGCCCAGCTAGTATCAGGACCTCATTGTGCTGTTATGTAAACACATAGGAAGACATGGTCCATTCTTCAATAGCTCAAAAGTCTTTAGATTTTTTTTTAAATCAAACTCCAGTTCAGACCTTTGAATATAGTTCGTAAACTTATCAAATTCAAATTGGATTTACAGTAAATTTGGTAAGTTTCTGTAGTAAGTCTCCTTCAAGCTTGAATGTGGAACAATGTATGCGTTCATGGGAAAGCTTCTTTAAATAATCTCACTTGCAAAACCTTGTTTTTAATAGTTTCAAGCCAAGTCAGCACCATTTTATATTTCTGCCTCTAGACCATTAATATTTGAATGTGAAAATGTCTTATTCTAAACGCATCTTCCTTTGTTAGCACATAAAAATGAAACCCATCTGACTCTTAAATAGCTAATTGAGTATGTCTATAGTCATATAAAAATATTTGGTGGCAGAGTTAGTCACACACATGTCTAGTAGACAAATTGGGTAATAGAGTGATTTGGTATGTAAATATCTACATTAAAATATTTAAATAGGCCTGACACTTAAAGTAAACTGGGGATAAGATTAATCTATTTAAAAAAAAAAACCCACCACCTCTTTTTAATAAATGCAAGGACTCAAGTTTAATTTTGGCCCTGAAGTTAAATTTTTTTCAGTTCAGAGTTTTTATTATCAGCTTGTAAGTTAAACAATATTCTTTGCCTACACATTTCACAAAAATCCAGTATTGATGGAAAAATCTCAACACATTATAAGCTTTATAAGACTATTGGTCATAACAAACAAGTTTTGCTCCAATCCTGCAAACACTGCAGGTGCTTAACTTCCCATACACGAATAGTCCTTAAAAAAACAACCAGCTACGCGTCCAGCAACAAACAATGAGGTGGTGAAAGGCTTTGGTTTGTAATACAATGAATGAAAAATAAAGGACAATGGGCATCTGCTACAGCCCACCAGCACTGAAGAAGAGTGAGAAAGTTGTTAAGGAATGCATCTATCAGGTTCCTTGGAAGCACAGGATACTCTACTGATGGGGGATTTTAAACTATCTTGTGTTGGGTAACAAGTATAGGCCAAACATGCATCAAAGTTTTCAAAATTATATAGCAAGCAGGTAATGATCTAAAATGTGAAGTCCCTATTAGAGGAAAACCTGTACTGGATCTACTATTCTTGAGAAGAATGGAGTATATGGGAATCTTGGGAACCAGCTACCTTAGGCTACTTGAATTCTGCACAATAAGGACTGGACTCCGAGAGCATACAGTGCCTAGATATTAGATTTCACACTGCAGATTTTGGAAGTGTAAGAAATCTGGTGAGTAAGGGCCAACTGAGGAAGTATTAAAATCCCCTAGTGTAGAAGGAGGTTGGGGAGTCCAAAAGGATGCATAAATTAGAGCACAAACCATTCTTTCACTGGAGCAAAGGAGGAGAGAAAAAAAGACACAACAAACAGCAGAAAATGAGGCTTCATGAGGAACTGATCAAAGGTCTGAGTAAGTTTGTGGTGTTAATCACTAGAAATGGAAAATGGAGAGGTAAACAGGAATACAGTCTGTAAATGCATGACCTCTTCCCGGGGCCCCCTGGGGGCAGGCCTACAGTGGCTCCTTACCTCAGTTTCCCTCCTGGGTCCCCACTAGCTCCATATCAGCTTATCATTTAGTGCATTAACAAGATGTAGTGCAGATAGTCCATAACAAAAGTCCCCAAACGTAATCCAATTCCCCACCCCCCACTGGTACATGTAGTCTGTAAAACACAGCTTTGTTCTCACTGTACCCTGCTGTCTTCTCTCACACTCGTGTCCCTCTGCCAGGACAGTCACCCCAGCCTTTCCTTGTGGGGTTCACCCCTTTCTTACCTGTGGGATCTCCCACCAACTCTTTGCTAGGAGAATTCTCATCTTTCACTCCCCCAGCTCTCTCACTGCTCCTCAGAGTCCAGCTCTCCAGCAAGGAAACCAGCAGGTAACTCCCCTTTGCTGTTCCCCCTTCCTTCAGCCCTGTCTGGCCCTTGGCTCTAGCTTAAACTGCAGTCTAAATAGATAAATACCCAGGGAATAGGGGGAAAGATGCAACAAAAGCAAATAAGACCCATGATTAACAACTCACCTGTAACTACATTTTTTATTAGCTCATCTTGATGCACAACAACACAGCAGTACATAACACAGCTTCCTTTGAAGTTACTTGGCCCTTAATGACTTTTCCTAATTGAGGATTACCCTTTTATTGGAATTTTTCCCCAACTTGCATTTCGGGGGGCGGCTCTTTAAATTTGCTAGAAAGAAGCTGCTGCTCCCCTAGAAGTAGCCGTTTTAATTGAATGCATTTGGGTGTGTCTCTCTTTTCTAGCTGGTAAATACTTTTAATTCCTGTTACATTTTCCCCTTCTTATTTTTGAGAAGATATATTCTTGTACTTTTCCAGGAGGCTTCAAGAATATGCTTTCAGAAAATTTCCCTAATTTAATTAGTATTCTAAACATGCCGACTAACAGTTCATTTAATTTGGGGCTATTAGCAGCACGAATGAGTAGAGGAAATGCAAATCCAGAACACTCCTTTTATCTTTTTATAACTAAGGGAAATATTTAGAGAGAGGCAGTCAACTTTTGACTTTAATACCACAGAAAAACAATAGATTTAAATGCTTATGTTCAGTATTATTAAACATGGAGCTCTTGAGAGCTGTGGGTAGGAGAATGGACATAAGGTGGAAGGGCAGTGTTGATACCAATCTAATAGGTAATATTGGCAGTAGAGTGTCTGTGCCCAATCGGGTAAAGAATGTGAGTGAAGCCAAACAGCAAAAATTAAGATGTTTGTACACCAATGCGAGGAGCCTAGGTAACAAAATGGAGGAACTAGAGCTACTGGTGCAGGAAGTAAAACCAGATATTATAGGGATAACAGAAACATGGTGGAATAATAGTCACAACTGGAGTACAGGTATTGAAGGTATGTGCTGTTTAGGAAAGACGGAAATAAAGGCAAAGCGGTGGAGTAGCATTGTATATCAGCGATGAGGTAGACTGTAAAGTGATGGAATGGATAAGACAGAGTCTGTCTGGGCAAAAATCACATTGGGGAAGAAAGCTACTAGAGCCTGCCCTGGGATAGTGCTTGGGGTGTGCTATAGACTGCTGGGATCCGATATGAATAGAGACCTCTTTAATGTTTTTATGAAGTAAATACTAATGGGAATTGTGTGATCATGGGAGACTTTAACTTCCCAGATATAGATTGGAGGACAAGTGCTAGTAATAATAATAGGGCTCAGATTTTCCTAGATGCGATAGCTGTTGGATTCCTTCACCAAGTAGTTGCTGAACCAACAAGAGGGGATGCCATTTTAGACTTGGTTTTGGTGAGTAGTGAGGACCTCATAGAAGAAATGGTTGTAGGGGACAACCTTGGTTCAAGCGATCATGAGCTAATTCAGTTCAAACTAAATGGAAGGATAAACAAAAATAGATCTGTGACTAGGGCTTTTGATTTCAAAAAGACTAACTTAAAAAAATTAAGGAAATTAGTTAGGGAAGTGGATTGGACTGAAAAACTTGTGGATCTAAAGGCGGAGGAGGCCTGGAATTACTTTAAGTCAAAGTTGCAGAAACTATCAGAAGCCTGCATCCCAAGAAAGCGGAAAAAATTCATAGGCAGGAGTTGTAGACCAAGCTGGTAGAGTAAGCATCTCAAAGAGGTGATTAAGAAAAAGCAGAAAGCCTACAAGGAGTGGAAGATGGGAAGGATTAGCAAGGAAAGCTACCTTACTGAGATCAGAACATGTAGGGATAAAGTGAGAAAGGCCAAAAACCATGTAGAGTTGAACCTTGCAAAGGGAATTAAAAGCAATAGTAAAAGGTTCTATAGCCATATAAATAAGAAGAAAACAAAGAAAGAAGAAGTGGAACTGCTTAACACTGAAGATGGAATGGAGGTTAAGGATAATCTAGGCATGGCTCAATATCTAAACAAATACTTTGCCTCATTCTTTAATGAGGCTAATGAGGAGCTTAGGGATAATGGTA